GAGCTCGGCGCGGGTCGTCGGCGAGGCGCCTTTGATCGAGGTGCCGTTGATGATAGTAACATTGTCCGTATTGGAATGCGAGAACATAAACTGCGATGACAGCGCATTCTCCTCCACAGTGGCTTCTCCGCCGCCGGGCCGGCCGGCATTCACGGCAACAAAACCAGTGGAGGGAGACTGGGCGCTAGCAGGGGTACTGCCATTCGGATTCTGGGCATGGCCATTGGCATCGCGCCAGGCAGGGCTGATGGAACGATGTTGTTGTTGCTGTTGTTGTTGTTGTTGCTGTCGCTGCGAGTGGAGCGACATGTCGTTCTCCCGCCGAGTGACAATCGCCGTTCGGCGGTTTTTCAAACGGTGGTTCAGTTGTCGGGCGCGGGCAGACACTAGCAACGATGATTAGTTTTAGACTGTAATACAAAAAATCATGTCAAAGGTCATACCCTGGTCGGCCATCTGGATGATCTGCTGGAGGTTCTTCTCCAGAATCTCCAATGCGCCCAATTCCTTCTCCTCATCCTCAATGATCGGCTGCGGGGGGATCATCTTCTGGGGCATCCCCGAGGCGATCAACACAAAGTCCTCCTCGCTGATCTCCACCCGACACTGCTTGGTATAGAATTGGCACACTCGCACCCCGTTGCGCGACTTTTCCAGGTTGAACTGCTCAGGTTTGTTCTTGGCAAACTCGACTACATCCAGCCAGGTCACGTTGGGGGAGTCCTTGCCATGCGACTTGAGCACGCGAGGCGGCCCATCGAACAAGCGCTCAAAGCGCTTGATCAAAATGGGCCCCAGCGGACAGGCGCCCAAGTTCCCAGCGATGCTTTCGTGACGATGTAAGACGCCGTCGTACTCGCCAATGAGATGCACAATGGCGGGCATGGTATCATCGACGGAGACGAGAGGAAGGTTGTCAGGGTATTGGCGGGCGAGGTAGTTGATCTGCAGGTGATTGGAATGGGTTTTGGGAACCTTGGATGCGATAGGAGGGAAATCGCCGGAAGGTGAGCGCGGTCGTTTACTCGACGGCTCAGCCGTCGCGGTTCTGGACTCCATGGTGATGCCGGAGGTAGCAGGCGACCAAGGAAGACAGTGAGGAAGTAAATCCGGGTGGATTGCGACGAAGCGAGGAGTCGCGGAAAATACGGGGCAGGGAGGGGGAGGGATAAATGGGAGGAACCCAGAGAGGAAAAACGGGTTTATAGCAGAAATGAGTAATGAGAAGACTGGCGAAAGACGGGCTGCCGATGGCGGAGCATCAGGCTCCAGAGTGCGGGTTCAGGTTCAGCCACTGGGCAGCGCGTGCTGCGTTCGAGTTAGGTAATCGGCGACCCCAACGGAAAAAAAAAAAACTTGGGAAAATGGGGGGGAGGGGGGGGGGGGGGGAGGATCCAGTGTCGGGAGGGAAGAAAATGTGGGGGAGGAAGAATACCCAGGGAAGAATAGAGTAGGGAAGAAGTGGGAGAGGGAAGAGGGAGTGGAAGGGGAAGGGGGGAGGGAGGAAGAGGAGACGAGGAAGAAAGCGAGAAGGAAGGAGAGGAGAGAGGATAGAGACCGGAGAGGAGGAGAGGAGAGAGGAGGGAGAGGGAGGGAGAAAGAGAGAAGAGAGAGCGAGGAGGAGAGATGGGGGAAGAGGCAAGAGAAAGGAAAGTTAGGAGGACGAACCGGCAGGTAAAGGCGGACGGAGTTACGGCCGGGAGGAAGAGGGTTGGGGGGAGCCGTTGGCCAGGTTAGTTTCTTAGTAGTTTGTTAGAGACATGGGACTAAAGGATTAAAGGCGCGCAGAATAAGGACTGGATGGGACGATATCTATTTACTCACTACTCACTACTCACTACTTAATAACTACTCACTAGCTGTTGCAGCTGTAGCAGCACAGCAAAAACAGAATGTCCCAACCAGCAGACTGCAGGGACGGGATGGTGGAAGTGATGGCCAATAATACCCTCGAATGGATGCTGGTGACGCTGCGGATGGCGGAACGGGCGAGAGGATGGGATTGATAGGGAACTAATGAACGGACTGGGATAGTGAGTGACTGACTAGATAGTAAGTTACCTACTGCTTTGATACATCCTCCCCCAACTTGCCGTCCTCATTGGCAGCAGCCAGACGATGGGAGATGCCGAGTGGACCGAGCTAAAGGGCCTGCAAGTGGGTGATGGCGATCTTCCGCAAAACAAATGGTAGCCTGATCGCGCCTGGACGATAGGGATGTTTTTCTTCTGTCTGTGTGTCTGTCTGTCTGTCTTGTATTCCCGCTGAGTTCCTGGGTGATCCGCATGATTATTTTTGACTGAACTCCCCTTTCCATGGACTCTGGGCTGTACTTAGTCTCTTTTGACCCCTGATGGCTAACAACACAGCAACCAACTTTCCACTCCTCTCCTGCAAACCCAGCGAGAGGAACTGGCGAGTGACCGGTTATCGCTTACCTAAGGCAGGGCGGAGTCCCGCCGGGCTCTTCCGCTGGTCATTAAACATACATGACATGTTATGACCATACATCAATACGCCGCCCATGCGCCTTGTTATCAAGGCCAGGCCAGGCCGGGGCATGAACCGACAACACCTTACAGTAGGGCCGGTTATGGGGGCCCATGTTTTGAGTAAATAGACACCACAATGAATGTATAGCAGAAACTAGCGAGGATACGAAGAATCCAGCAGACCCGATGTTACATCTCCGACAATTCTCCCCTTATCATCAGCATTGACATTGGTTCCGATCCCAAGCGCATGTGTCTGGGGTTGCAAGTCCCCTTGCGGCGGACTCTAGGGACCGACAAGCAAAGCAAGAGGAAGGACGGCTATCTGACACGTTGTCCTCTGGCGGCCAGGTGGAAGTGGCTGCTATGATGCTGGTGCTCCGTTTCCTTCCGGAACTTATCCAATGGGTATTGGTTTGGCTGGCGTCATGGGTTTCGTGATTGTGCACAGGGGAAGCCGCCCGGAACCCGGCCTGGACCAGACCAGCTCATCCTTCGGACGGGGGTCGCGCTCCGCCCGTGCTGAGCCGGTGCCAGACAATCAGTGAGCCCCGGTTTCTACCTTCCCATAAGTTTTTACTCGAGTCATTTTTTGGGTTTTCATTGCTGATGGGGAATCATTATCTTCCCCCAGTGTGAGACATTAAATAGGATCAATCGGATGAAGATGGTTGCCTAAAAAGCCTTCATCAAACTGGTCCAGCAAAGGCCGAGCTGTGATGGGCGCGTGTCCGACACTGGCCGGGTTCCAGCCCCCCCACGATACGCGCTAACCCGGGCCGGTGGTCAGGTACTGTTCGAGTTGGAAATGTGACAGATGTCTTGTAATTTTTACCATCTTTAATTGCCAGGAAGACAAAAAAAAAAGAGTTTTCCGATCTCCTCCCAGCGTCCACAGATCCCGTGACTGGCTCGACCTCGTGATTGTGGTTGTTTTGCTTGTTGCTATTGCTGCTGCTCTTTGCTATTGCTGCTCCGGCTGAAAATCCCTCATAGTCAGAGTTTCCCTGCAACAGCTTGACTGACTCCCTCCGCCCCCGTGAAATTCCCGTCGGGCCCAATTTGGCATTTTTGTCCACACCGGTGTGCCATTTCCAGGGAGCTGCCGGCCAGTCCATTCCAATCCCCCTCGTCTGTCCAGCTACTCTCACTACTAGCTGGTTCATCTTGCATTTCCCCTCCTTCCCCTCATTTTCCTTTACCCGACACCGCATTATCTAATCCACATCCTTCCTAATTGGACTAAACCCACCACTCCCACACATAATCTACTACTAAGTAACTTCCCCTCCCAACCTAAACACTCCCTCCAGCCAAGCCATGTCCGAAAGAGGCTCGTTCCGTGGAGGTGGCCGTGGCCGCGGCGGAGGCTATGACCGGTCTGGCGGTCGTGGCGCCCACAGAGGTGGCGGTGCTGGTGGCGGTGCCCACCAGCAGCAGCAGCAGCAGGAGAAGCCCAAGAAGGAAAACATCCTCGACCTCAACAAGTATATGGACAAGGAGGTGCGCGTCAAGTTCAATGGCGGTCGTGAGGGTAAGACCCACCCCTACTGTTGCTATTTACATACACTCCTAACTGATATTTGTGTCCAGTTATTGGTACGCTCAAGGGATACGACCAACTTATGAACCTGGTCCTGGACGATGTCAAGGAATCCATGCGCGGTAAGCACACCCTGCAATCTCCACACCATGACTTTAACTGACGGCCCCAGATGACGAGGGCAACGAGAACACTCGCTCTCTGGGTCTCGTCGTGGCCCGTGGCACCATCATCGTCCTGATCTCGCCCGCCGACGGCAGCGAGGAGATTGCCAACCCCTTCGTGCAACCCGAAGAGTAATCACGTGCTCTGGAGGCCGATATCAGAGCAGCTTTGCGGTTTGTTGGTGCCTGATGCGGTGTTTCCCTTCTGAGTGACCAGCCATGTGCACGCCCTGCACAATTGACGACAATCGTTGCAGCCGTCGTCCGCCTCACGTCCTGATGGATGTGAGTCGATGAGTCTGAGTCTATCTTGATGTTGCCGTCCACCACGGACGGTGGGCGGAAGCTTACTATACACACCTACGAAGCCAGATGATGAAATGTATTATGTGCGCCCTGAGCGTTGAACTTGTATCTGCATGAAGCCATGCATAGCGCAATACCAGAATACTACATAGTAATGGCGGGCACTTGACTGCCTACGATCAGCTTCCTTTCCGCCCTGCGAGTGGTCATGACATCATTCTCCGTGTCGTCATGAACAAATTGCCGAGTTCCTCCAATGTGCTGCTGTGTATGATGCTGTAACCCCCCAATTGTTAAAGTTAGTGCTGTGTATCACCATAACAATACTTGTGTTCTCCCTCATGATGTTACTGAACATTAGGCTCAGCCCGACAGATGGGTCTAGGCCCAATTGGCCTGCCCTCTCGTCAGATAGAAAACACACTGGATCCCTGCAACGCAACACAACAAGCAGCATTGTCTGCAACAGATCCCATTAACATCTTCTCCGTATAAGCTGCCCGTCTCATAATGAAACTCCCTCTCTGGCCCCTCGTGGCCTTACCCCTCTCAGCCGCCCTCGTCTTCCCCTTTCACCAGAATCACCTCCCCAAGGATGATCATAGTATCACCATCGACGACGAGAACATAGACTCCGACCTAATCAATGGCATAACCACCACCCTCGCAACAGCCCTCGACCACCTCACAACCGACATCTGGCCCACCATCGTGGACAACTCCTTCAACTACCGCTCCAGTGATGGCCTCCATCACTACGCCCAGCAAGTCTCCGAACTCGCTCCGCCCTTCCGCCATCCCTCTCCACCCCCATACCTCCGCCACCCCGCATCCAACAAGACCCTCTACGACCTCATCCTCTCCGACCCCGACACTTCCCTCCTCGCCCACTTCATCCGCAACGACCCGCACCTCACACACCTCCTCAACAACACCTCCGCCAACCTCACCTTCTTCGCTCCTACCGACGCAGCCATTCACAGACTCCACCACCATCATCACCACCACCATGGGCATAATACCAACAACAATGAAGATGCCCATGACCGCATCCGCCACATCCTCACCTACCACACCGTCAAGGGATCCTATCCCATCGATAGACTCTTCCACTCGCCTACAATCCCGACTCATATACCTACTGAACCTAATCCCAACTCCCTCCCGCAACGCATCACCGTCCGTCCAATCATAACGCGCAACATCATGCTCAATTTCCATAGTCGCGTCATCTCCCTCGATAAACACGCCTCCAATGGCGTCCTTTATCACATCGACTCAGTCCTCCTGCCTCCTCCTGCTGCCCTCAATTTACTTGACATCATCCCTCTTGAGTTCAGCACCTTTACACTAGCCCTGTACAAAACCGGTCTGGACAGGGTACTTAACACCTCCATCACCAGCAAAAACCGAAACCTCCAAAGCCCCAACCTGCAAGACAACGACATCAGACAAACACAACTACCCAAATCATCCCCAAATAAAGAAAAAGAAAAGAAAGGAGGAGGAGGAGGTTTAACCCTCTTCCTCCCCACCAACTCCGCCTTCAGCGCAACATTCACCCCGCAAGCCCTCGCCTTCCTCTTCTCCCCAGAGGGAAGTACATACCTCTCCGCGATTATTAAATACCACTTCGTGGTTGGTGAAACGCTATACTCGGATACATTGTACACGAAACACGGGGATATAGTCCCTCTTCCATCGAGGGATGTATCTCATCTAGAGATGGGGAGTTTATTACATGGAGTTCGCTCACACCCTAGTTTTGATGGTAGTGATGAAGGAAAGGCGGAGACCCTCTTCATCGACGCGAAACGCCACGGCGCGTATCCCTTCTTCCGGGTGAACGGGTACCAGGGCATCAAGACGATGGATTTGTTATCGGTGGAGGGGAACATGCATGTTTTGAATGAGAGGGTGTTGGTGCCGCCGAAACGGGTGGGCGATGGGGAGAAGTATGCGGTTGATGCGAGGGAGAGGGAAGATGGGTATTTGATGGGGGTCGAGGAGGTGAGGGAGAGGTTGAGGGGGTTTTTGGTGGAGGATGATTACTATGCTTCCAGGGGTGGGTTGTAAAGTTGGAATTATGATCTGGTTATAGATGTGATATGTGGTCGTGGTTCCTTTCTTTTCCTTGTTATATACTCTACTTAGTGGGGTCATTGTTCTTGTCTCTACACTACACTAAATATTGGATTACTATACTGGTATTGGGATAATAAGCTGGAATGTGAACTTCAATCTCATACATTTCTAACTATGGCGTATCTGTCTTAATATTCTTCTTCGTCACTGCTGTATAAACGTGCCCGTGATCCATCATCCACCCATCACCATCACTTATCATCGATAATGTGAGCAGTTGATGATATCTTCGGCAGTCAAAATAGTCAATGTAGACATATCATATCCTCGCTGGAACATAGGAAACAATATTCCCCTCCACCATGAGTCAAATCCAAGAATATCCACCCTTCCATCCATCCATCTGTCGTGTAAGAATAGCCCAGCCGGAGCTTATGACACACACTCATAAAATACCACATAAGGATATATGTATGTAGCACATTACAGTGCAGTGGTGTCCAACTCAGACTACTCAATGCAGCCTGCTACTAGCCGAAGGCTTTAGCAGCGCCTGGAAGGACGACTCCAGAGCTTTCTTCAGCTCCTTATAGCTGACCACGAAGCAACTCTGCTCGTCGCGGCTGATCAAGGTGATTTTCTCGTCCGTGCCTGCGTCCAGCTTGTTCAGGCACATGAGCACATGGCCCAGGTCGACGACGGGGTCGCCCTGCGCGTCCACCTGGTGGAAGACGTAATCGCGGAAGATCTTCAAGAAGTACCGCTCGCCGTTCTCGGACCATTGTCGATCATGCTCGTACTCGGGTCGCTCGTTAATAAAGTTCAGCTTCGTCATGAGCCGGACGAGGCGGCCGTTCTCGAGCTCGCGACTCAGATCGGAGGTTAATTGGTCGTCTAGGTGAAGGGCAGAGTCGAAGGTCGACATCAGTGTCGATGAGATGCCGGTGATAAAAATGTCAATGTTTCTTTCCTGGTCTTTCTGGAGCCCGTTTAGCAGCCAGAAGACCGAGTTCTTCAGCTGCGCAGTGTATGCGCGTGTGAAGTGTTCCATGGCCTTGGTAGGGTTGTGCATAACATTGGGCTGGTTGGCGCCCAGAGTGACGATGAGCTGTCCAAAGTTGACCAGATCTTGCCGCTGGAGTTCGGCCAGAGATCGCTGAGTGTCGAATTGGACCACATCCATGATGGCGCAGGCGTTGAGACGAATGCGATTCCGCCCAGTCAAGAGGATCTTGCTTGGGTCAATGATCCTGGCAGCCAATTGGCTGGCATGAATTGCTTTTAGAGCATTGGCAATCTGAGTCATGTAACCCCAGAGAACCTGTTCCGGGATGTGTGTGTTATGGCGACCCTGGAACCGGTTTCCGGCGCCGAGATGCTGCTCAGCCAGCGTCTTCGACAGTGGGTGATAGTCGGTGACAAAGATCAACGAGCTGTCCTGAAAGCTTCGGCTAGTAAACGCATCGTGGACTGTCACGACACTACCGTTGCATACACGCTTCCAAGCTTGCACGGAGCGAATGGCCTTTTCGTTCGTCAACCGGAAACCTGCAGACGTTAGTATCCAGATAATGGTATGAAGAGAATTAAAGTACCCTCGAGTCTCCGGAGAGCGTAAAAGTTCCCGTCCTTACTAGACTGAGCTTTGTACACCCAGCTGGGAAAGCCAAAGATGGTAGCATTCTTCTGATGGTTGAGATCGAGCGGGACAAGAGAGTGAAAGTAATCAACCTGAGCCGGTAGCTGAGTATCTAGTCTCAAGTCAGCATTATTAGCAAAACGTACTTAAATGCCGGCAACGTACTTGGTAGTGTCTGGAGCGTGGCTGCCGCCTTCTTCTGCATTTCCTCCCGTAGGTCATTAGGGAGGAAAAGGTCGTGTACGTTTCGCTGATAGCCCAACGTATTCTGACTGTGAGGCCCGATCGGGGCATACATGTGATATTGGACCTGACACTTGGTTAAGATTTGTTATGTACCACAGATAAGGAGTGGCTTACTGGCTGCTGGAATCCAGACTGGTTGGCGAAGAACGCTGCTCCGTTCAGCGCTGCAGCAGTGTCATGCGAGAAAGGATTGGCCTGCACCGGGCCGACAGCATTTGCTGCGGAGAGGGGATTCGGGGCGGTCACAAAAGGGTCGAAAGCGCTCGTGCTAGGAACACCGGCAGTCCCGTTACCTTGCAGGGAACCCTATTCCAATTAGTATTGCAAGCAAGTACACTTCGAGCAAGGTCACCACAACAGATGACATGCAGAAGCAGTCAACCTGCCTGGAGCACCTCGATCTGGCAGCCTTACTATATGTGCAGTATCAAAGCCCTGAGGCACAAACTCTTGTACCTCTGCCACAGACCAATCGGGAGTCATCGTACCCGGGCGAGTAGTAGGGGTGCTGGAGTTGGATCCTGATTGTAGTCAGATTCCGCTTCGCATCCCGGAAACCGGTAGGGCATACGTGATGATATACTTCTAGGTTGAAAGGGAGCTGCGCTCGCAGCCTTGGGCGAAATCGTAGCCATTTTTTTCATGGTCGCTGATTGGGAAGTGGGCGATGATCCATTCGACGACAATATGGATGGGGTAAAGCTGGGGGAGTCGACGTTCAGACGTTTCTTATTACTGCCAAATGGGTAAGTCATCTTCCTCTCTGACTCCAACATTGCGCGCCTCTCCCGGAAGTGCCAACCTGTCTGATTGATATCCTGAATTCACTTTATGCGGGTCGTGGTTGAAGGCGCACCCTTCACAAGCAATCGGACGGTTAGACGGATCCTAGCGAGCATGAAGTGGGACAATAGGCAAGGAATGGCTAAGCACCTTTATCTTCGTAGCGACATCGGCCATAAATGGTCACATTGCGACACAGCGTATCTTTGGCGTTCTCTGTAAGGTCAGGATGACGAACATGTTAGCTGATACAGCCGAAAGAAGCAAAGGCCGACGGGAGCATTGAATCATATTTCGTTGCCCCAAGCCGGCATTTGAATCATAATCCAACTAACCTCGTCCCTTCATTTTCGGAGACCCCGTACCACGACGGGCGTCTTCCAGCGTCGCAGACTTTCCCGTGGTAGCCATGATAGATTCGTTATCCACAGTTGGGCGCGGATCAACGGACAGGTATGTCCATTGAGTCAAGAAATATCGGACGACCTAAAATATCTAGAGGAAACCACATTCCTCAACGGAGAAGACCCGCAGACTAGCTCGACAACCCGAGATGCCCTCAGAGACGGTGTCGAGGCGATGTTCGCTGATGGCAGGGTAAATGTTCCGCAACAGCCAAGGACGGCTGGGATGGCGAGATCGGGCCCCCTTTCGAGCGTTAGACGGTGGGAACAGCCAAAACAATTGAGAAGAAACGTCCGGAGACAGGAACGGACGAAGATCTCATGCCATGGATGGTGACAAGGCAGTAAGACCGCAAGGCAGCATCCGAACCAAGGGCGGCGCGGGGGGTAGAGGGAGGGGGAACTGGACGGGAGTGCGTCGAACTCCGTCCCGTGCACGGACCACTCGGGCGTCAAGCGCGCGTCTAGCGTGGCTCGCAGCGGCCATGACGGAGCTGTCCTTCTGAGGCCAGCTAGCACAGTATTATCGTTCCCCACGACTTCCCCTCCCTACCATCTCTCCTAGCTACGTCCTGGTCTGCGTCTGTGGCGGTCTACTGCATGACTTAAACATTCTTTAGGAGCTCGCTACTTTTTCTGTCCTTAGCTCCCCCTCTATATCCTTATTAGCTAGGCTATTCTGACGCACACGACTCCCGCGGCTCATCTATACCCCCATCACTCACGCCAGTTCCAGTTCCACTGGCCTCGCTGCTCCTTTCCAAGCCGTTCTGTTCATGGATGATATCGTCAATTGACCATGTCCACCTTCGGGCTTGATATATCCCAACTCTCCGACAGCGAGAGGTCCGCTCTCGAGACTTATACTGCGGTCACCGGTCAGGAACATTCGGAAGCCATTCCTTTGTTGCGCCGCTCACAATGGAATGTGCAGGTAAGGCCGGATGATGACATACTACCTTTAGATATCATGGGAACTAATCAGTCGCTGCTTTCAGATCGCCATCTCCAAATTCTTTGACGGCGAAGGGCCGGATCCCGTCGAGGAAGCCCGCGCTGCTCTCAATTCCCCTCCTCCGCGACCCGCTCGACAGACACAAAACCTCATGACTGATGACATTGCTGCGCAATTTGCTCCGAATCCCCGTGCGGCCGAGCCAGCTCCCCGGATAAATACCCAGCCTGAAGATCAATCGGTCTACCGCCCGCCTTTCATACTAGCTCTGCTGTTTACTCCGCTGAACCTCCTCTATCGACTACTCTACAGCTCCTTCCGCCTCTTTGGTGCCTTGTTTCCCTTCCTTCCGCGCTTCTTTAACACAACAGCGAATCCCGCTCTTCAAGGCTCCCGGAGAAATACCAATGGTCGCCGGCCCTTGGGTCCCAAAGATACGGCCGCCCGGTTCATCCGGGAATTCGAGGAGGAATATGGCACCAACTCGATCAGTTTCCTCGAGAACGGATATAACATGGCCTTGGAGAAAGCCCACCGGGACCTCAAATTTCTCCTAGTTGTGCTTCTTGCCCCCGAGCATGACGATACAAATGGCTGGGTCCGAGACACACTTCTATCTCGCGAAGTGACCGACTTTGTGAACGACCCGCAAAACGACTTACTTGTCTGGGGAGGGAATGTTCAAGACTCTGAGGCTTATCAGGTTGCCAACTCCCTCCGCTGCACCAAGTTTCCCTTTGCAGCCGCACTAGTCCACACTCCGAACGTTTCCTCGAATGCGATGTCGGTTGTGTCGAGAATATCTGGAACAACGTCCCCTGCGGAGTTTGTAGAGAAACTCCGATCGGCAATTTCGCAGCACAAGGAGCCACTCGAGCGCATCCGGTCAACCCGGGCGGAGCAGCAAGCTTCACGCAGCCTCCGTGAACAGCAGGACTCCGCCTACGAGCGTTCTCTGGCCATTGACAGAGAGCGGGCGAGACAGAGGCGGGAAGCAGAGGCAGCCCGACAGAGGGAAGAGCAAGAGGCAGCCGAACGTCGAGCGGCCGAGGAGAAGCGCATACATGATCTTCAGCAATGGAAGCAATGGCGGGCACAAACCATCCCCGAGGA